ATACCATAAACAGTTTAGTTTATCAGAACATATTTTACCTGTTCAGGTGTATCATTCATGTGTCCTATCAAGGGAACAACTACTGTACAGCCTTGGGCTGTTGTTGAGAATAATGGGATTATGTACAGTGAGTGGACACTGTACTGTAAGGCTGGCTTGGCTAAGGTTCACTCACTTGTAATATCTGCGTTATTTGCTCTGAAATCCGCAGCCCGTCGCGTTTAGGATAAAATCCATATAGTTGAGTCTTGCCAGAGGGAACATACTGATTTAGTCGAGCCAGGGAACGAACTTTTTGCCATGACTACGAACACTGACTACGTACCCGGTCAAGAAACATTGTATCAGCCAGTGCCAGTTGGCAATGCCATAAATATAAGCAAGAACCCTTTGCCTACAGTTACTTCAGAAGTCAAAGGGTTGTACGAAGCTCTCAGCAAGTCAGGTGGTGGATAAATGTTGGTAGAATTGCCGACATAATGTTAGATAAAAGGTCACGCGCAACCCGTAAAACATAATTAGATTTGACTTACATACCGTAATACCAGTAAGCTGATGAATACGACACATGTGCAACGCCTGTGTGTATTGATTCATGAAGTGTTTCGTCCACCAGGTGGCTTTATCAATCATATACGGACATGATAAATAAACCAGAAGTTGGAAGTCGTTTGGTTCCATCACTAAGTGAACATAGTTCCAGTGCATCAAGTGTATGGTAGTGCTCGTATAGCATGAATACTCATGCAGAACACATAACATTAACAGCGCTTCTGTAGTTAATAATGACAAGAATATACATCTCATAGCCCGGCGTAGGGCCAGATTCCTGTTACACGAGGATGAATGGATCAGTTTGTAGTGCAGGGAACCTTCCTTTTTTTTCAGTCCTAAGATACTATAAAGCAAATTCAAGGCGTTTTAATGCTCTCTCATGTTCCCTTGTATCACCCATCCGTCAACTGACCTCACCCACGCAGCAGAGCAGTCACATGACCCATGTCCTCACCTGACTGGACAATCTGTAGTCGTAGACATTTTCTGTATACCTAAAGTTCTCCTTAGGAGAAATGCTGTGGTAAAAAAAAAACTTTTGCTGTTTTTCTGTACTCGTTATCCATCATACTCAGACAGTCATTAACATTAAGTAAGATGTCCAGTCTACCACACTCTAAGTCATTAACATTTCTACATTCATTCAACCTACCACACTCATACCGACGGTTGACTCACTATTACACCATCATCCGCACAACACCTCATAGAGTGAGCGCTACCCATGACTTGCTAAACCCATTTGTAAGCTGGTGGACGACCACCACCATTAAGCCCTGGCCGTGAGAGGCGTCTCTGTGAGCCATAAATATACTGGTGATGAGGGTGATAGTAGCCAGCCGCGCTCCGCCCACACAAGGTGTCCCATATACAGCAGAAGTGAAGGCTAGGCGTCCATTATGCACATACTCTCTAGCTGCATATCGTGGGTCAGTGCTGGCTAGTCACTGACTGGGACGTAGGCTGTCCTCTCAGGGGTGCAGCTGACCTAGTAATCACTCCAGACCCAGCTGTTGATGATGGGAAAGCATCGGAAAGAAAACTGGAAAGGCTGATTGGCCGCACTCAAGGTTTTTTCATCTTAATTTAAATGCCGATGTGATAAAAAAAAAAGTATTGATGGGAAAAAGTTAAGGTCGTACAGCACTTGTAGAATGGGAGGTAATCAAATTTGATCCGACGAACCTTTAGGGCAGCTCCATTCCCCCATTGAACGGTTCTTAAATACATATCTATATCCTTTGTGAATGTATAAATTGATATATATTATTAAATAATAATGTACACAAAGTTTAAAGGATACATTGAAGGATCAAAGATATTGTGGTGTAAAATATGCAAGCTTGAGGGGATACATTACTAGGACACAAATGTGTTGGTCAGCAATTATATGTGAAATATCTTTCTTTATCCTTATTTCTACAAGTACTTGTACAAGGTATACAGACCATAGCTGACATCAGTGCCATACTATATAGAAAGCCCCTTGTTATGCAGAGCATTTCGGGGCAAATTAGGTCAATTTTGTCCCAGGATGCGACCCACACCAGTCCACTAACACCCAGGTACCTATTTTACTGCTAGGTGAACAGGGACAACAGGTTTAAGGAAACACGCCCAATGTTTCTACTCATCCAGCTCCTCAGAGTTGGGGCACGTAACCAAGATACATCAGGCATTACCCCTCTGAACAGCAACGTTTAATCGCTAAAGCAAAAAATTGCTGCCCTGGGATCCTTAATTGCCTTGATGAGTCTTAAAGAAAAGCATTTCCAATTTCTTTTTTAAAAGATTAATCAACACTCAAGGATCTGATAATCATTCAACATGTGTATATTGTCAACATGCACTCCACATATTAATCCATTTGCGCTATTATGGGTTGCAACATGAGGGTAATTATCGTGTTTAGCTTATCAATAGCTGGCCGGTATGTCCCACACGGATTTAGCGCGTTTTTTACTTTCAATGAAATGCTAATGGTCCCCAGTTTAGTCTTGACCAGCTGTGTTATATCTAAAAAAAAAGTATATTACCTTAATTTTTCGGACTCTGCGGGTTTAGCGCTTCTCCGTGAAAAAAAATATTAACACCAATAATATTAATTTTCCCTCGTGTGTTTTAATAGTCTTGACACATACTCCAAAGTATATTTGCGAGAATTACAGGTTACAACGTATGTATACATGCATACAAGCATGTATACATGTATATGCCAAGACTGTAGGGGGATCACACAACCCTTGGGTAATGGGAAGTTATCGGTTTGATGCGAATAAGGGTAGAGCGACTTCCCCGGATCAAGAGCCCTTCACCACCAGCACCAGGGTGCCCCCGTGAAGGATCGACAGTTGTATATTTATACATGGTCAAACTGAATCACTCTTTGAGGGGCAGAAATATACGTGGTTGTTAGTAACTGTATTGCACAACGTCCCTCATTATCAGGCAGTGTACACCTTGAATCTAATCTTATATATCAAAAGTATATGCACCAACAATAAGAACACAGTAAACATGTGATATTACCATATACAGAACAACCACTGTGAAAAAAAACCCAGATAATATATATTTTATATATATATATTATATATATATATATATATATATATATATATATATATATATATATATATATAATATATTATATATATATATATATATATATATATATATATATAATATTATAATATTATATTATATATATATATTATATATAATTATATTTTATATATAGACAGATTAGCAAATGCCTATCCGCTAATGATTTTAGTTTAATCTCAAACTAGTGGTACTATTACTGTTAATGGTTTTACCTGATGTTGAGGCTATAAGAGCTCTTTCAGTAACAGACTTTTCAAACCTAAAAATAGTACCCTAACTCTTGACTACATAACAAGATCCAGGCTTCTAAGTACACTAGTGAGTTAGCTAAGTACTGTATATAATGCAACTTTTTCTACATATGTTTAAAACTATAGATGTACTTGGGGTCATTAAGGCCTGCCATCACCATGTACAGTGAACATCAAGATATTAATCCCTAAACAAGGAATAAAATTCTATCTAGGCATACACATTACTAATATTATTATTCTTCTTATATATTATTTATTATTATATATTATTATACTATTATTTATTGTAACCAAGGGAAGCTTAAACACGTTTGGGTATACGCCATTGGGTAATGGTCGGGGTGGGGTAAATCAGGTTTAATTCAGGAAGTAAGGGACAGTACAAGCTATATGGATCAACACCCACTTGATGCCGGTGAGATGATATTGATTCCCTTCCTTGGATCAAAGTTGACTGTCTCAGTACCACAGGCGTTTCATGACCCTTCCGTGTTTAGTGCTAAGGCGACGGGCTGGAGTTTTGAGACTCTATGACCGCGGGTTCAATCCCGGTCGGGGGTATGGTTAGTAATACAACTACTACTACTACTACTATTACTAATAATAATAATAATAATAATAATAATAATAATAAGATCTCAGTTCAACACTAGCTGTATGTTAAGTTTGTTAAATTAAGTTTTTATTATTTTATTCATGGGGAAGCGCTAAACCCGCCAGTTGAACAGCACCTGAGAATTAAAATGCAATCAGAATTGGTCTCAGGTAGGATAGGGTAAGGTAGCTTCAATTCCTTTGATCAAGAGCCTTTTACCAACGTCAAGGCGCCCTTTCAAGGGTAATACAGGTATATATATACATTCATACATATATACACATATTATATATATATATTATATATATATAATATATATATATATATATATATATATATATATATATATATATATATATATATATATAATATATATACATACATGCATATTATTCTGTCGTCATAATATGTATTGCTGTTATATAAACACAATAATGAGTATTCAGAAGAAATACTCGTGGCAACGTTGCCACATCTACTTCACGAAAATTAAAATAGATGCCTCTACCTATCTATCTATCTATCTATCTACAATTTTTACCCTCTTTCTTTAAAACATCTGGCAATACGAACGTCAGACAACAACACCTGAGATGTTTGTGACTAACTGTAAACATTTAGAAAACACTATTGATGCAAATTTTCCACTGGCCGGAGAGGTGCAACATATGCCAGTGTTGCACGGAGTTTCCTCATGTCAGCACACACGAGCCTGAGCCCCGGCCGCCCCGCGCCGCCCGAGCCACGAGCCCTCACACACTCCACCCACCACACTGTCACCCGCACGATCAAACACGCTCACAATATTTCTCCAAAAACTATCATATCAAAAACACCGGGATTTGATCTCTGAGGGCTCCGGCATAAGGGCTTTACAAAGGGCTGATGGAGGCGAAATAATATGGGATGAGAGCTGAGAAATAAGGAAAGTACGATATGTTTGTATCTGGGGGTAGAGGCCACATTCCCTTCGGTTGGGTTGGGAAGGTGAGATGGTTGCAAGTGAAGCTTCTGCGCTTGTGTGAGCAACACGCTTATATGTATGTCCCGGGAGTGAGATGGTATAGTTCCTGTACTGAGCCTCTTCAGTGAACATATACAAGGACGATCTTACCCGGCTAGTTGTGATTGTGAAGCCGAGTTACTTGAAAAAAAACAAAGTTCCCTGGACTTTTTTCAGAGACTTATTTTATTCTTCAGTGAACAGTTGCCTTATATACTGTTAAATTTCGGAAAGTTTATCGTCATCTAAGTTATAACTGGTTAGTATCGTGTTGTTTTTGTTAACACTACTGGCGGAAAACATGTGTGAACGTTTTAAACGAAGTGTTTGTAAGGAGGTGATTCCTACCTCCTACCCATTATTCACCTAGCAGTAAATAGGTACCTGGGGGCTTGCCAGACAACTTTTGGCGAAGACCTATGGTCCCTAAAACTAAAAATAAGCCACTAATCATAACATTTTTGAGTTACTCAGAAGTTACTCTTTAGAAAGTTTCTTCACCTGTGTCCATCTTACATTTTCTTTATAAAAGTTCAAATTACATGTTAGCTACATGTGCAAGTTTAAGTTACAAGTGATAGTCTCTAAAATAGTGTTTTAAGTCTTTCTAGTGTTCATATACAGTATTAGTTCGCGGTAAGTGGTTTTACTAGAAGTTAGGGGCATTAGTTTATAGTTATAATGAAAGTTATTAAGTCTGGTAAAACATACTATTCGAGGTTAGTGGAGGGAGAATCGAGCCTCGCAAAGCTGCAAGACTCGCATGGGTTTAACGCTTCACGCATTAAACCTGTGGAGAAGTTCGTTAAATACTTTAACAACAGAGTAGTTATACAAGTATTCTTTATTTCCTCTTCTCTCCATTTCGCTTCATAAAGTTTTGTCAGAGTACAGGAGTGGCATTGATGATAATTTCATCACATTGACTTACAAGCAGTGAGAGAAGACCCCAATGGAAATAAATCACTTTGTCTAACCTTTTTGGGTTATCCCAGGTTCTGTACACGTGCTGCTATGTATGATAATGTATGTAACTATACCTGAATAAACTTACTTAGTGCACAAATAACCCGCACATAGGAGAGAGGAACTCCTCTCTGTGTGCGGGTTATTTGTGTGTTGTTCCAGTCACGACATTGTGTCTTTGTGTTCTTTCTAGTGGGAGTTTAAATGAGAATAATGTAACAGCTGTACACTCCAGTATATAAACCAAGTGCGTTTTTTTTTTTTCCCAAGCCCAAACAAAGACTAATTCTCTGAAGGGTTCTTGTCACATTCCTTATATTAACGTTCACCCTGGGCGTTTTACACGTGTCCAGATAATGCCTTCCAAGAATTCTCTGCAATTTAACACTTCCTAAAGTTACAAAAAGGGAGATGGTTGTGGGAACTGCACAGACTAGCTTGTTTTCATCATTAGAAACTACTGTAGTTTCCTAAAATGTAGGGAAAAATATTCATTAGTGTGTAAAAAATATGGTTTAGTTGCTAGACGTTTATTTATATTTTGTACGTCACTGTACTAAATGTTTAAAAATATTAACATTAAGGAAGCTTTATATGTAAACTTATATGTAAATTACCAGGCAGAAAAAGATGTTAGTTTTATCAGCGAGATATAATCCAACGTTTACAAGATAGTTATTGACATGTATAATTTATTGCTACATAAATATGATTATACTGGACAGCTTGGCATGAAGAATACTGACATGATTTGAAGAATTTTGTAAACTTTATATATATAAACTTATTTTTATAGTTAAAGGATATAAAAATCAGCGTAAGCATTACCGTATTAATTATACAAAAATTGTTTTATGAGGAAATGTGTATTTGCGTTAACTTTCATAAACCCTATTGGGCCACTTAATGGAAGTTATTAAGTCTCTAGCAGCAAATAGGTACCTGGGTGTTAGTCGACTGGTGTGGGTCGCATCCTGGGGGACAAGATTAAGGATCACAATGGAAATAAGTTACAGTTCTCGATGACGCACTGACTTTCTTGGGTTATCCTGGGTGGCTAACCCCCCGGGGTTAAAAATCCGAACGAAATCTTATCTTACTAAAACATCCCGTCTAGAAGTTAGAGGGAGGATCGAGCCTCAAAGTTTCACGACTCACACGGGTTTAACGCTTCACACACAAAATTAACTAAACATGTGGTTTGTGTTTTACTGAGATACTTAACATTGAGCAGTGTAGATACAAAGATATTCTTCCTTTTCTCTACTCTCTGTCTCACTCGTCACTAAGTGTTTAACTTTTACACATTTATTATATGCCTTTTTCTCTAAAACTAACCTGGAAGTCTAAATTACTCTAGATAAAATTTACCTAGATAAAAATTAACCTTGATAAAATTGCTTAAGAATTTGAAAAATTATTATGAAGGTTTATATTTGGCAGTGGGTTGGGGAGACTTCAGGTGACCTATATTTTATCAGATGTTTCTCTTAGAAATATAACTTTATTTTTCCTACCCACAGATAAACCCATAGCATGGCTATGATCCCACATAGCCTCGGTGGCAGCCCGTACCCAGCAGCACCCATGGTGATGGATGTGGACCAGGGCTTCTCCCACCATCACCACCACCACCACCAGCTGTCAGGTTCCATGCAGCTCCCACCACAGCCGCTCCAGCAGCCACAGTACCAGCCACCAAACATGCTTCAGCCCCAGGTCCATAACATGGACAAACAGCAGGGCCCATCAGACCAGATGATGGTTGGGACAGAACCCCCTTACCAGTGCAAGATTTGTGGCAAGGGTTTTGCCATTCCAGCTAGACTAGCACGTCACCATCGAGTTCATACAGGAGAAAAACCCTTTAAGTAAGTAAGATTCTGTGTTTCTTTGCCTTTATTTTAATAAGACACTGGTCATATCTCGTATCATTGCTGCTTTAGAATCCATAAAAGTCTATTAAGTCAGTAACATCATTAAGAGAAATCAAAGTTTTACGTGACAAGAAACCTGGTCACTTCCTGTTAACCTAATATGATGTCTGCCTTCCGATAGCCTTCAAGACTTGAAAGTGGCTTCCTGTCAGTTTCTCATTTTTTCAAAATCATTATCAGGGTATTTTACTGCGTTTTACTAGCAAAACTGAACAGATTCCATACTTTTTAACTTCGAAAATTAATTTCTATTGAGCGAATTTAATATTGAAATGCCTGTTGATATTCTAATGGTTTTGTGTCTTCTCTTCAACAGATGCGAGTTCTGTGAGAAGACTTTCAGTGTGAAAGAGAACCTGAATGTACACCGTCGCATTCATACCAAAGAACGGCCCTACAAATGCAATATCTGCGATCGCTCCTTTGAGCACTCTGGCAAGCTACACCGTCACATGCGTACCCACACTGGAGAACGACCCCACAAATGTGAGGTAAGATGCATTCATAATCTTTTAACCATTGAAGAAAAAGAGGTGCAGAACAAACTTATGTACAGTGAAACAATTAAAATATTGTTCTGCAATTGTTCTCGATTGTGTTGAGGATCACAAGGCCATAATCTATGCACTTAGCATTTGTGACACGCCCTTAAATTTCCTAGTTTTTTTATAATAATGGGGAGCACTAAACCCGTAGGGATTATGCAGCAGTCTGGGGGGGGATGGAAGGTATTCAGGCTCAATTCAGGGAGCTGGAGCAGAGCTCCAGTTCTCTAGATCGAGAGCCTCGCACCAGCGTCTAGGAACCTCCCTTGAGGGGTCACCTAGGTTTATATCCTTAATATTCGTTATTCATGAAAAAGTCTAGTATCTTTACCTAAACTTACATATTTATATTTTTCTTGTACGTTGAACTTGATAGTATATTTATGTGGATTAACACGGTACTTTTTTTTTTTTTACATTTGGCACCAAAGCTCAACAGCCCTGAGCTAATGCTGACAGGAACTTAATATAATTTAGTTTAATCCTACCCATCCTATCTTAAGCTAGCCTAAATTTAGTTTTTTAACTTGTATGAAATAAGGGTTTAACACTCCTGGGAAAATAATGATAACGAAATACAATATATTAATTTTTCGTGTTCAGAATGATTGCAGCAGTTATTGCTTGTTTGGCAAACAATCACTGCTTTATAAGCCAAGATTGCAAGGTTTATTTCAAACAGTAAGCCAAGGATACAAACAGTATACCAGGCTGTAGGTCGAGACAAGCTGACATGACACATACTTTCTCGTGATGTGCCCAATAATCCACGGCCTTACCACTATCATGATTTTAGTGTTCCAAATCATAGGATTAAATTTTAAACCACAGGATATTTCCTTTAAAGTGTACTTTAATTTACATTATATTAACTTAGAAAATGTATTTCATAACTGTGGTAAGGTTTAAAAAAGATTTATAATGTTCCTAGTGTGGATTCCTAAATGGTAGATATAGATTAGATTCATGGCACATCACTCTTAGGATGTACCATAATTCATCCTAGTTACTGATCAGCAAATAAACGTAATTCCTAAAATGTAGTTTAAATTAAACTGCATATAGATAGAATGCTAGGAGAAAAGCCTGTTTTGTTTCACAGAGTACCGTTGAAACTATTGGAACAGGATTGTTCGGTTAGGATTTCTGTATGGTATCAAAAGCCTTGTGCTACCCAAAATCTAGAATTTGTTGGCATAGCATTGTCTGATATTTTATTGAAGTAATCTAGCCATGATTGGCAATTAAACGTATGTTATAATGTTTTTCTCTTTTGTTGCAGGTTTGTGGTAAGACTTTCGTTCAGTCTGGACAACTTGTGATACATATGCGGGCTCACACTGGCGAAAAGCCATACACCTGCGAGTACTGCCAGAAAGGTTTCACTTGCTCCAAACAGCTCAAGGTACACATTCGTACACACACAGGTGAAAAGCCCTACGAGTGTGATGTCTGCGGCAAGACCTTCGGATATAACCACGTTCTGAAGATGCACAAGATGTCACATCTAGGTGAGAAGCTGTATAAATGTACTCTATGTGAAGAATTTTTCAACTCTCGCAAGGCTCTAGACCGCCATATTCGTGACCACGACAACCCTGAAAAGCCGTCACGAAAGCAGCAGCCTGCCCAACAGCAAGATGCACAATGGAAGCTCTCGCCTCTTTCCAATTGCTCTGACGTCAAGGATGTTAAGGCTAACAGCTCCTCCAACTCTCCACCCACCAAATCCTCACCCACTTCAGTGTCGTGGGACAGTGATTCTATGGAACAACAGCTGCCATTTCGTGAGTTGCGACGGGCCTCTGAAGGGCCCATCGCTAACGGACCAGAAGTTTACACCTGTTATGGAAGCGACAATGTCGGGTCTCGATCTCCTGGATACGTCAGTGATGACAGCGGTCGAGGCGCTAGCCCCGTCAGTGACACTCTCTCCCCACCTCGATCTCCAGTCGCTTCTGGACCTCCTTTAACACCACCATATATTATGGATGCGCCGCCTGTCAGACACCAGGCACCTGTTGGTTCAACTCGCATGGACTACAACATGTTGCTGCACCGCCTCTACCCAGACTTGGTGGTGCCTAAGCCAGAGTTTTGTCACCCGGGTGATACACCCCCTCGCATGGCAGTTTTCACAACAGATACTGGGGAGCGACTCACTTGTCCTTACGATCTCCTTTTATGTCTTCAGAGTAAAAAAGAACAAAATTACATGGATGAGCACAAACTTGCAATGGAACAAGAAGCTATCCGACGACGTCAACAACAGCAGCAGCAGCTAGAAGAACACCTACAACGTGAAGAGACTCGACGCAAGCGTGAGTGTACCTTCATCAATACAGTGCAGCGGGTACTGGAGGCCCTCATTGGTAATGAGAGGTTAGAAAGATTGGGACACCCTGATACCTCCGTGGATGAAGTCCTCATGCGAACACTTAACCTGATGGGATCACAACCCTGCAAGGAGCCTTCACTCTCTCCTATGGACAGGGTCAAAGTCAACCTCCGGCTGCTCCTAGAGTGCACTGTACCCGACCAAGATATGTGGACCAAGTTTGGCTGGCGAGGAAAACCTATCGACGATATCGTATCAGAGTTCCTAAACTTCTGCTAGTGTACCAGAAGAGGTCATTTCCTCGAGTTTCTCACCTTGTTCAAAGAAGGAAAAATCCTTCATCTTACTGTAGAGAATGTATAGCTGTTGGATATGATTGGGCAGAGCCATATGTTGCGAATTGACATATCCACATTTCATTCCTGTTAATTGATCCGCAATTGGATCTGTCAACTTTGTGGGGAGGGGGGAGTAAATAAAACGCGTATATTTCTTATATATGGGTTATGTACATCATGTTTGGAAACTAAAGAAGGAACTTTTTGCTTTAAAGATGCTTATATTTAAGCTTGAGAGAAAGGGAAGTTGGAAGATATGGAATTTGAAGCACAATTCCATGGCTTGAATCATAAATAGAAGTGGAAAGGAATGAAGCAGAAAGTTCCTGATGTTTGACGCTGATCGTCCATGAGATGGATGTGGTTTATTCGAAATGCAAACCACATCCCTGCTATGAAAGACAGACCTGACGTGGAGTCTGCATCATCATAGCAGAATTGGTGACAGAGTTGCTCACCTTGCAGTCAGGGAGACAGTGTTACTGCCGTCCTCTGGTATCCGGGAGTGCCGATCTCAGGGCCTTGTTGGCCTCATATTTGCTCAGTATTTTCGCGGTGTCTCGCAGATCTGCGATACAACTCTAGTCGTTTGTGAATGTCCTGCTAATGGATATTTTGTACATTCCATAATGTTTGTTATTTGAAGCACAAAATGTGTTAAATATATCATTTATGTATATAAATAAAATATATATTTTAGATGTACTGTTTAATAAAATACAAATAATAAACTAGTTTAACTATTACCTGTTACAAGTTTGTAATCATTGGGAAGCACTAAATCCGTAGGGGTCATACAGGCCCTGGGGAATGGGCGGTAATCTAGGGCATGTCTATGCTGGTGAGGGGCTCTTGATTCTAGGAATTGGAGCTACCTTACCCCCTTTGGACCAAGCCTTGATTACCTCTTTAAATTGCACATGTATAAATCTATCATCCCAACAGATAGTGGTGGACTTTCAAGCTGTCCATCCCTTGGATCAAACTTATTGTCCACCTATGGCCTATACGGGTTTAGCGCACTTTTCTTTTCAGTACACTGACCTTGACGGATTTAGCGCGTCTCCATTCAGTAAATATTAGTTCATAGAGGTAGTGACAACGCTAAGAGCGTTTGATAAGATGAAATTTATCTGTTTACCTTTTTCCTTGGATGAAACCTCAGAGCCTCGCATTCCTACGGGTATAGCGCTCTCCCTCCATCAAAAGAGAGATGCTGGTAAAATAAAATTAGTACTAACCCATACTCAGCAAGGTCGCAGTGTGACGTCATTCACTACCTTCACTGGCTCAACTTTCCCTCCCCTCAAGGAAGGTTCCTTGATGTTGGTGAGGGGCTCTTGATTTAGGGAATTGGATCTGTGCTCCAGTTCCCCGAATTAAGCCTGAATGCCTTCCACATTCCCCCCCCCCCCAGGCGCTGTATAATCCTACGGGTTTAGCGCTTCCCCTTGATTATAATAATCAACTTTCCCTACGTTCACCCCTCGTGGGAGGCAATCACGTAGTTGAAGGGCTGTTGTTCCGAGGAAATGGACCTTGGACCCTTGGACCAAATCTTGATACAACCTGGTGGAAAGAGATAATTATTGGAATAACTGGTAGAATAATTGAAATACATCCAAAGACAGAGGGGAACTTAATTAAATAAAAACTGGTACACTGGCTGTTGTATAGGCTTACACTGACTGATATATAAGATTTCGTTCGGATTTTTAACCCCGGAGGGTTAGCCACGCAGGATAACCCAAGAAAGTCAGTGCGTCATCGAGGACTGTCTAACTTATTTCCATTGGGGTCCTCAATCTTGTCCCCCAGGATACCACCCACACCAGTCGACTAACACCTGGCCAGGTACCTACTTGCTGCTAGGTGAACAGGACAACAGGTGTAAGGAAACGCGTCGAAATGTTTCCACCCGCCGGGAATCGAACCCGGGCCCTCCGTGTGTGAAGCGAGAGCTTAGGCCACCAGGCCTGGCTGTTGTACATGCTGTACTTAGTTGTACATGCTGTACTTAGTTGTACATACTGCTGTACATGCTGTACATGCTGTACTTAGTTGTACATACTGCTGTACATGCTGTACTTAGTTGTACATACTGCTGTACATGCTGTACTTAGTTGTACATGCTGTACTTAGTTGTACATGCTGTACTTAATTGTACATACTGCTGTACATGCTGTACTTAGTTGTACATACTGCTGTACATGCTGTACTTAGTTGTACATACTGCTGTACATGCTGTACTTAGTTGTACATGCTGTACTTAGTTGTAACATGCTGTACATGCTATGCTGTACATACTGCTGTACATGCTGTACTTAGTTGTACATGCTGTACTTAGTTGTACATACTGCTGTACATGCTGTACATACTGCTGTACATGCTGTACTTAGTTGTACATGCTGTACTTAATTGTACATACTGCTGTACATGCTGTACTTAGTTGTACATACTGCTGTACATGCTGTACTTAGTTGTACATACTGCTGTACATGCTGTACTTAGTTGTACATACTGCTGTACATGCTGTACTTAGTTGTACATGCTGTACTTAGTTGTACATACTGCTGTACATGCTGTACTTAGTTGTACATGCTGTACATAGTTGTACATACTGCTGTACTTAGTTGTACATGCTGTACATAGTTGTACATACTGCTGTACATGCTGTACTTAGTTGTACATACTGTCCTTAGTTGTACATACTGTTGTACATTCTGTACTTGTACATACTGTTGTACATTCTGTACTTGTACATTCTGTACTTGTACATACTGTTGTACATGCTGTACTTGTACATACTGTTGTACATGCTGTACTTGTACATACTGTTGTACATGCTGTTAGAGAAAGTACAAAGGTTTGCAACAAGACTAGTCCCAGAGCTCAGGGGAATGTCCTACGAAGAAAGGTTGAGGGAAATCGGACTGACGACACTGGAGGACAGAAGGGTCAGGGGAGACATGATAACAACATACAAAATACTGCGTGGAATAGACAAGGTGGACAGAGACAGGATGTTCCAGAGATGGGACACAGGAACAAGGGGTCACAACTGGAAGTTAAAGACTCAGACGAGTCACAGGGACGTTAGGAAGTATTTCTTCAGTCATAGAGTCGTCAGGAAGTGGAATAACCTAGCAAGTGAAGTAGTGGAGGCAGGAACCATACATAGTTTTAAGAAGAGGTATGACAAAGCTCAGAAGGCAGAGAGAGGACCTAGTAGCGATCAGTGAAGAGGCGGGGCCAGGAGCTGAGTCTCGACCCCTGCAACCACAATTAGGTGAGTACTATTGTACATGCTGTACATAGTTGTACATACTGCTGTACATAGTTGTACATACTGCTGTACATAGTTGTACATACTGCTGTACATAGTTGTACATACTGCTGTACATAAAGTTGTACATACTGCTGTACATAAAGTTGTACATACTGCTGTACATAGTTGTACATACTGCTGTACATAGTTGTACATACTGCTGTACATAGTTGTACATACTGCTGTACATAGTTGTACATACTGCTGTACATAGTTGTACATACTGCTGTACATAGTTGTACATACTGCTGTACATAGTTGTACATACTGCTGTACATAGTTGTACATACTGCTGTACATAAAGTTGTACATACTGCTGTACATAGTTGTACATACTGCTGTACATAAAGTTGTACATACTGCTGTACATAAAGTTGTACATACTGCTGTACATAGTTGTACATACTGCTGTACATAGTTGTACATACTGCTGTACATAGTTGTACATACTGCTGTACATAGTTGTACATACTGCTGTACATAGTTGTACATACTGCTGTACATAGTTGTACATACTGCTGTACATAGTTGTACATACTGCTGTACATGTACAAGTTACATGTACATACTGCTGTACATAGTTGTACATACTGCTGTACATAGTTGTACATACTGCTGTACATAGTTGTACATACTGCTGTACATAGTTGTACATACTGCTGTACATAGTTGTACATACTGCTGTACATAGTTGTACATACTGCTGTACATAAAGTTGTACATACTGCTGTACATAGTTGTACATACTGCTGTACATAGTTGTACATACTGCTGTACATAGTTGTACATACTGCTGTACATAGTTGTACATACTGCTGTACATAAAGTTGTACATACTGCTGTACATAGTTGTACATACTGCTGCAGTTTCACTACAAGTTGTACATACTGCTGTACATAAAGTTGTACATACTGCTGTACATAGTTGTACATACTGCTGTACATAGTTGTACATACTGCTGTACATAGTTGTACATACTGCTGTACATAGTTGTACATACTGCTGTACATAGTTGTACATACTGCTGTACAAAGTTGTACATACTGCTGTACATAGTTGTACATACTGCTGTACATAGTTGTACATACTGCTGTACATAAAGTTGTACATACTGCTGTACATAGTTGTACATACTGCTGTACATAGTTGTACATACTGCTGTACATAGTTGTACATACTGCTGTACATAGTTGTACATACTGCTGTACATAAAGTTGTACATACTGCTGTACATAAAGTTGTACATACTGCTGTACATAGTTGTACATACTGCTGTACATAGTTGTACATACTGCTGTACATGTGTTGTACATAACTGCTGTACATAAGTTTGTACATACTGCTGTACATGCTGTACTGTACATACTGCGCTGTACATTATTGTACATACTGCTGTACACTACTTGTACATACTGCTGTACATTGTTGTACATACTGCTGTACATAGTTGTACATACTGCTGTACATAAAGTTGTACATACTGCTGTACATGCTGTACTTGTACATACTGCTGTACATGCTGTACTTGTACGTACTGCTGTACATGCTGTACTTGTACATACTGCTGTACATGCTGTACTTGTACATACTGCTGTACATGCTGTACTTGTACGTATGCTACTACGTCTGCTTACATGCTGTACTTGTACATACTGCTGTACATGCTGTACTTGTACGTACTGCTGTACATGCTGTACTTGTACATACTGCTGTACATGCTGTACTTGTACGTACTGCTGTACATGCTGTACTTGTACGTACTGCTGTACATGCTGTACTTGTACGTACTGCTGTACATGCTGTACTTGTACAGTACTGCTGTACATGCTGTACTTGTACGTACTGCTGTACATGCTGTACTTGTACGTACTGCTGTACTTGTACGTACTGCTGTACATGCTGTACTTGTACGTATCTGCTGTACTTGTACGTACTGCTGTACATGCTGTACTTGTACGTACTGCTGTACATGCTGTACTTGTACGTACTGTACTTGTACATGCTGTACTTGTACGTACTGCTGTACATGCTGTACTTGTACGTACTGCTGTACATGCGTACTGTGTACTTTCTGTACATGCTGTACTTGTACGTACTGCTGTACTTGTACGTACTGCTGTACTTGTACGTACTGCTGTACTTGTACGTACTGCTGTACTTGTACGTACTGCTGTACTTGTACGTACTGCTGTACTTGTACGTACTGCTGTAATGCTGTACTTGTACGTACTGCTGTACTTGTACGTACTGCTGTACATGCATGTACTTGTACGTACTGCTAGTACATGCTGTACTTGTACGTCTGTGATACATGCTGTACTTGTACTACTGCGTACATGCTGTACTTGTACGTACTGCTGTACTTGTACGTACTGCGTACATTTAGTACAGCTGTACTTTTA